CACTTTTCTGAGTTCCCACCTCTCATAAAAGAGTGCGAGACAATCATTGTTCAACTATTTTTTTTATGAGCTCAGATTGTTATATTGATAATAAAACTTGGTCCATTATTAAGCTCAAACGTACCATTTGATCGAGATTTGTCATAAATAGTAATATCTCAATTTGATATTTTTGGGTGAAGGACAAAATTGTTTATTTTTATCAGCATTAAAAATGTATATTAAGTTAGTAAAGGAGTATAAAAAAAACACCCCCTAAACATACCATAGTAAAAAAAAAGTGTAAATACTGACTAAATCCCACATGGTTACTTTCTATTTAAATTTATGATATAATTTTGATATGATATCGTTATTATTATAAAAATCATTATTATTATTATAACTTTGAAAATTTATTATTATTAATAAAATCATATTTTAAATCCTTCTATTTATTTTTAGGATTTAATTTAATCTTATTATTTATAAAAAAAGAGTTTAATTTGATCCTTTAATTCTTTAAAAATATTCAATATTATTCTTTCATCTAAATTAACATTGTACCGGAAGGGTTTTATCGGTCATGTGGATCGGCTACGTGGACCGATACGTCATGTCCTATCAGATATTGACGCAGCTCAGACACCACTTCGGCTCGGCAAGGGCCGAGAACCATGGAGAACCCAACCCTTTTCCTATCGGCTCGGCCAAAGGCGCCGAGGACGAAAAAGGTGTCTCGGTCGTTCCCTGTCGGCTCGGCCAAGGACCAACAGAGTCAGAATAGTTAGGACGATAATCATGATTAACAAGGAACAACACGCAATTAAGGCATAACTAGCCGATTAGCATTGTATTACCTAATTTGGTAAATGTCAGAGAAGACCCACCATGCTCAGGGCCCATGACAAGTAGTATAAATAAGTCACACGAAACGAGTTATGTCACTGTTCATTTATTACCCTTGAGAATCGTTCTTGTCCTGACTTAAGCGTCGGAGTGCTTTTTCCAGGTACCTCCCCCCCTCTGAAACATCTACCTGAAGCTCTCGTTCGGCCCTTCACCCACCAGAAGATTATGAGTGTGCCCTCAGACAGGTACAAACATTAACAACATTAATGAAAAATTAGGTGAAAGGACAATATTTGACATTATTTTTTAAAATTAGAGGATCAAATTAAACATTTTAAAAATAGTGGGATCAAATTGAATATTTTATATGATTCAATTTAATTATCTAATTCTTAAACCATATTTAATATTGTTTTTCATTAAATTTATGAAATGTTGTTAATGTTAATTTAGACAAAAGGATAATATTCAACATTTTTAAAAAATTAAATGATAAAATTAAATCATTTAAAATAGTGAGAATATATTAAATATTAAAAATAAATAGAAGGATAAACTTGTAATTTAACATTATTATTATTATTATTATTATTATAAAATTTAACAATTTTATCACCCATACATGATATAATTTTGATATGCTATCGTTATTGAATACTTTATCTTATCATGAATGATAAAAAAAGTATATGATTTATAAAAAAAAATTTTAACTCTTTAAGTTATAATATGATTTTGAAAAAAAAAATCTTAAAAATTTATCACGCACATATATGTTTCTTTCATTAGAAACACGTAAGAATAAAATCAGGAATGAAGTGTGCTTTTAAGTTTGCTATAATGTTTAAGTTTGTAATTTTAGTCCTGATTTTTAATTTCGCAATCTTATTAGTTTAATTTTATAAAAATTTTAATTTTAACTTTTTTTATTTATTAAATATTTCTCATTATTTTTTAATTGTTACATTGAGTAAATGATAAGATAATTAATATTTAATAACATTTAAATCAAAATCTATTTTTAATTTTAAATTATATTTATAAAAATGATAAATAAAATAAAAAATTAAAATTATATTTTTTACTTAAATATTATTAAATATTAATTATTATATTATATATATAATGTCATATTATGATCAATATTATAATTTTAACGATTAATGAGAAGATTAAAACTATAATTTTTTTAAAGATTGTATTAGAAAGTAAATTAAGAGTCTAATTTACCCTTACAAAATTAATTTGTAAGATAAAAATTGTCATTCACTTATATATATTACTTGACATCTATATGTGATTTAATAATGACATGATAACGAATGATCTAATAAGTCCTTAAACAATCGATAGTTGTTAGGATATTATATAGGTTTTGATATGCACTGATAGCATATTAGAAAGTGGGTTAAAAACTTAACTTAATTTTATAAAATTAGCTTATAAGAATTACTCCCTATTTATATATACTATTATGACATTATTCATAATTGATCTGAGATCTTTTTCACGTCGAGAACTAGACATTTCAAATTGGACATTTCAAACATAAAGTTTGTAGGACTAAACATATGTGAATGGTTCGATAATAGTTTGATAGCAAATGACTAGATAAATTCACTTAAATCAATAATTACTATCATATAGACACATGTGAATAGTTCAATAAAATAATAGTCCAATAATGAGTGACTTAGTAAATTAGACTAATAGCAAGAATTGTTAGAATTAACTTAAAAATAGATTAAAAGTCTAGTTGAACTTTATAAAATAAATTTATAAAATAAAAGTTATTTTTTATTGATATATATTATTATGCTCTTTTTCTTAGATGATGGAAAATCTTCAACGTATTAAAAATATTAGCTGATTAGAAATTAATAAAAAAAAAATAGAGTTGAAAAGACACAAATTAAAACCTCAGTTGATTGAATCAACCAGGAAGTTGATGATTAAATCCGGTGAATACGAAGCACCACATGTTGACAGATTCATTGTTTCTTGATTCTTTGCTAACATAACAGTAATTTAATTTGTTTGTACAAAATGCTAGTTAACTATTTCGATGATATCACAGCTGACGAAAGGGTGACCCCGTTTCAACAGCCACGCTCTTTCCGTTTAACATTTATTTTTTGAAAAAACTTTATTAGCATGCCCATTATCTGCTACAAGCGGATCAGTGGCAGAACATTGAACACAAATTTTGAAAGAGTAAAATGAATGCTGCTTAATCTATAAATTAAATTATAATGAGATGCATTCTTTTAACAAATTACACACGATTTGAGCTTTAATTATTATTTTTTTAGTTCGAGGGTATATTTAATTAAGGAGATAACAGTAGAATAAAAAATATTATTTCAGCCAGGAGAACTTTGGTTAGGTTATAATTTGTATTTTAACAAGTTCAAATTATAACTAATTAGGGGTTAAGAAGGGAGATAATTATTTCAGGGGTCCATGCTTCTTTTCGAGAGAATTTATCTATATTTTTATACATTACAATTTCCTTAAAAAACTTAATTAATAATACTATTAAATTATGACATTTAATATTACCCTGAGAAGCAATCGTTACATCATTAGCTTTTAAAATTAAATGGTATGTAAATTAAATAACCAAAAGAAATGGTAAAAGTTTAAATTTTCCAAATGTCATAAAAAATACTTAACATGTCAAAACAAATTAAATCCTTCTTAATTATATATTTTTAATAAATATTGTTATAAATAAATAAAATAAAATAAAACTAAGTCACATAATTAACTATCTTAATAATTTTCTTTTGACAACACTATCTTAATTATTATTGAGTTTATTTTTACTATCACATGAAAAACAACGGTAAATTTATGATAAAAACAGGGAAAGAATGATTTCTCCTATAGCGCCAGTATATATCTTTCAATCCACAGTCAAATGGAGTGCATATCTAAAAATACTGTCAAATAAAGCAAATTAAGGACTTTCACTCTAAATGCATGCACATATATAATCAATTGTTCATTGATCGATCGCATTAATCATACATTTTTTGTTTCACTGTAGAAATTGTTACACAACAGCTACTTTTTACTTCATTCATTAATTTCTACAAATGAAGTTCATCATTTAATGCTTAGTTAAACAAGTAGCTAAAGTACAAAAAGAACACATAATTATTGAATTATGGGTAAATTTTCAAAGGGGTATAGAAAACTATGTGCTTTCAATTGCCACATTGGTCCACGTAATGTTTAGGCATACAAAATATGAAGTTACTTAATAATTGAATGTTACACAATTAATCCTAGAGATGATAACAATATTATAAGGTTGGTCTGGAGGAATTTGAGGAAAAAGGTTGGTGGATGTGGGTTAGTTCGAGTTTTAGAAAGTTAAATAACAAAAGGCACATGAGAAAGGCAATTAGCTTTTTTGCTGCAAAAAAGTCAAATAGGGCCTCTTTCACCCATCATAATGACAGAGTGTGTGTGATAGATTTGCACCCAAGATTCATCATCATTGTTCTCTGATATTTCTTTTATAATATATGGTGCCCCTAAATAGATCATCTACATAATAAAATACAAAAGATATATGTATCATCCGCTCTCTTTTTCACTTTATTTTCTTTTGAGAGAATCAAATGGTGAATTGGTGAATGATATTTTTCACTCTCACTTGATTATGTATCTCTCGTTCTATTATTGTGCACTCAACAGGTTTCGCTTTCGCCCATATTATAATTATTATCTACAGTGACAGGCCTGTTGCATGAAAGTTTCATACATTAAAAAAGTAAAATAGAGAACTGATAAAAGAAAAAAGAAAAAAGAAAGTAATACATGTGTTAAAACAGGATTAATTAAAAATAAAAATTATAAGTTAAGTTGATACATATTTTTTCTCATTTGTCTTGTATTGTTGACTTCCATGCCACAGTGAAGTTCCACTAACCACGAAGGACATGGAATTTCCAAGCTTTAAAGGACAAACAGTACCATTATCATTTGAAGCAAACCGCAAGGTCAGGTTGAGTTGTTACTATAGTCTCACCTTTTGCATATTCTCACTTCCTTTTTTCAACATTCTGTCCTACCCCACCTATTTATTTATTCCTTTATGTATTTATTTTGCTATCTCAACTTAGCTAGTTAATGAACCTTTTACATGAGATCTGAAAGAAATAATTTTATTAGAAATTGACACAACACATATCCTTTGAAGAAAGTAAAAGAGCCAAAAAGAAAAGGGAAAGTTGGTTGAGCTACGACGTTATAAGACATACTTACAGATCATGGTAAATTCTCGTCGCCACCAAAGTTCGAGAGAAACCCTTTTTTAACCACTTGTGTCTTCTGTTATGTTATTATTATTATTATCAAGATCTTCTCCAAGTTTCGGTAAGATAGCTACTGATTGTGTTGGATCGCAAAGGGTGGAGAACGAGAAAGAAAGATAATCACGAAATGATGTCAACAACGTCTCAAACTAATGTTAACCAAAGCTTGTTTGAAGAGCAGGATCAGATCTCTACGCAGATGGGGTTCATTCCTTTCCCACCTAACCAAACCTTCCCTCCTTTGGGTTGTCATCAATCTTTGAAACCCATCGGTGCAATAGTTCCTTCACTTTCATCTGAAACTGCTTCTTCTGCTGCAAATTTTGCTGAAACCCTACTCTCAACTGCTATTCAAAGACCACGAGAAGATCTCACTTCAAGTTTTGGTGGAGGAGAAGGCCAACTCCTTTCCTTGAACAGATCGAGGGTGAATTCATGGTGAGAAGATTCACTGTGTACTTTAATTTTCAAATCTCTCCATGCATGTTAACCATTTCGGTATTACAAGTGATTGTATATATGACTCGTCACTTATATTTTCTATCTTCTGTGTTTTTCTCTCTCTAACAAGACTTATGATCCTCATTAAGGGAGAGGATTCAAATCTTTGTTGTAATTACTCTTTCTGATAAGATTTATGACTAGAGATAGGTCTCATGAATCTAGGGCATGGGAAGAAGTAACCGATTGCTTGATGGGTAAAAGAATTGGAGGAGATGATAATCATCATCATCTAGGGGTTTCTTCCATGAAGATGAAGAAAGTCAAGGCAAGGAGAAAGGTGAGGGAGCCAAGGTTTTGCTTCAAGACTATGAGCGATGTGGATGTGTTGGATGATGGCTACAAGTGGAGGAAGTACGGACAGAAAGTGGTAAAGAACACACAGCACCCAAGGTACTCTCCAATTCAAAATTTTCTCTTTTCTGATGGCTTTAATAGAGAGTGACTGCATATAGATCAAGAAAAGGAGAAAGCATATTTGTTTAAATTCGACATTCTCTCTCTCTCTCCAACCTCTCGACCCCTCTCATTATTGTTTCATGCTTTTATCATAATTGAATATTCGGCTCACTACTGGTTTTGGGAAGGTTTAATTTGGGGTCGTAATGCAGACATGATTATAATCATTAATCATATTAAAGCTAGATAGATTCACTTTATGTCTTGTGGGGGAAAGTGCCAGCGTTTTTTTTTTTTTTTTTTGGGTAAAGGAGAGCATGTGAATCTGCCAATGTTATAGAACTAAATAACCCTCAGATGTTATGGTATGTATGAGTACAAATCAAACACACAGCTCTTTTACACCAAATAAAATAAAATTAGAACTAGGTAGCTAGAACTCTCAGAAGTTATGGCATGTATATTAAGTACAAAAACACAGCTGTTGCCATTGCTACTTTAGGTCTGTGGTAAGACTTTTCCCCCCGGAAATCCCTTTATAGGATTTTCGTGTCTTGAGGAATGTTTTACTGAGTAGAAACATAAAATAAACAAATAGAAAGGATTTATTATGCCTTTTTTTTATTGAAAAAAAAAAACGCAATGCTAATATATTTGGATGCTGATTTTATCCTCAATATTTGCTTAACAATATGTTTTCAGTGTCAACTATTCGACGGTGTAATTAATTACTACGAAGGGATACCGCTAAATCATACTGTTATCATTTTTAATCATGATGTTTGAAATTACAACTGGGAGGTATGAAAATTTTGTCAATTGACGTACACAAACATCTTTCTTACATAAGAGGGTGCTGTTTTCTGGGAGCTAAATAATTAAATATGAACTTGCAAAAAAATGGATTTGAAAAAACCAAATAAAGAAAGCCATTGCCATGCAGTTAGCTAGCTAGTTGTGAGGCTTCTGGGACCTTATTGTGGTCTTAAGTTCAAAATTGTATGTTACATATATTTATAAAAATGGCTCGGAGAAGTTACAAAGTAAGTAATTACAGTTGAAGTATTAGCCTAGTGGTGAGTTCCTGTTTATATTCTCTGCCTTGATTACTTTTTAATCTTGTCAATTCTTTAAACTTAAACCCGACATTAGACCGAAAGAAACTAATAATGTACAGGTCAATTAAAACCGAATTTTAAGTGGAATAAAATTAAATCATCTCGAAATGTGAATTGAATAAAATTATAAAATAATATAAATTGCCCTAACTCATGTTATCAATCAATTCTTATATATTTAGTTTAACCAACCCTTCAAATTAAAGTGCATCATTTCAAAGACTCTATTTTAGCCTCTAACATATTTATTTAAAAGATCTAAATTTATTTACAGTCCAACATGTTGCAGAAATTATATACTCTTTTTCGCTGGAAGGACAGGCTAGTTGACCCAAAAAGCTTGGTTGGAGGCAGGTTAAAGAGGGTTGTGTATCTCAATAGTGGGGCCAGAAATATAAAAATTTAAGTATATATTTTTTACGATAAAACTTTTAGCGAGTGAGTAAATTTCATGTATTTGATCGAGGGGCCATGCTTTAAAACAAATGCATAATAAACAAAGTAATTAAAAAACTGTTTGCAGTTAAGTTAACTCCACTGGCAATATTTTAAAAGCTTTCTGCAAGTTATATATGTATAATGATGTTTAATGCTATCAAAGTTATTATCTTGCCTCTACAATTATAATATATATATTTAACTCTGTAATGATGCGTGTTTGGGTGCATGCATGTAGAAGCTACTATCGTTGCACCCAAGATAACTGTCGAGTAAAGAAACGCGTGGAGCGGTTGGCAGAGGATCCAAGGATGGTGATAACCACATATGAAGGGAGACATGCGCACTCACCATCAAATGAACTTGAAGACTCGCAATCTCCTTCTGAACTTAGTAACTTCTTCTGGTAGTGTAAACCAACATAATAATGTTTACATATGTATATTTTTATCGTAGCAAGAGATCCATGAAGACGGATTAATAAGTAGAGAGGAATGAGTAAAAATTGACAGTGTATCTAGGAAATGATGCATGCATGCTTTGATTCATTGTCAATTTTCACTCGTTTCCATCCACTCCCATGCCATTTTCTCCCTTTACTATGCTTTTTAGTTTTACACCATTGTCATGCTCAAAAACAATTAAGAGTATGTACTTCACAGTCCTGGTGGTGTTTCATAAAAACTCCAACCCAAAACCAGTAATATATTTGTAAGTACTGGGCTTCAGAATTTGACTTTTCCACATTAATAGTAGGCTAATCATATTTTTAGTCTATCATCTTTGTATGAAAAGTATCTTTTAGCTACTTAATAATTTTTTTATTTGCTTTAATCTCTTAACTATTCTTTGTCCTTTCTAAGTATCACCATTAAGTGACTTATCATATTAACTATCAGTATGCATTTAGGTAAATTAATTATGTTTTTAGCTTCTTATTTTCTCATAAGATTTACTTTTAATCTTTTAATAATTTTTTTTATCAATCTCATCTTTTAAATATTATTTGTATATATAGTTAAGTATCACTATATATTAAGTAATAATATGATAATCATGTCAGTTGTCACGTAACCTACTACTAGTAATTATGTGACAGTCAAATGATAAATTAAAATATGCAAGTAAGAAATGTACCTTATAAATTAAATGAGAAATTTTACTTGCATTTCATATAATTCATTTTAATTTCAAATTATTTGTGAAAAAAAAAAATAAGAAACACAAACTTGTGGAAATTTTAAGAATCTCAGTCTTTGAACCCTTTCGAAAAACCTCCCATTTCAATCTCACACTCACAAATTCTTACTCCTGGGGTAACACCATACACAAAAGCCATATATGAGGTGGCAATGGCGGTAACAATGTGAGGCGACAACACTGTGCACTAAGGGCAAATACTATTTCACATTGGTTAGAGTTGAGCATGTTGAGTAATATATAAGTGAGAAAGATTGACTTACCTAATGTGTTAAAGTTTTAGGATATGTTGTTGTATCAAATTCACTTGTGTAACTTACTCATTACCCATTATGTGGAGTGCTCCCCGATGTTAAAAACTCCCCAACATTAGTATCAGAGTCGATGGTTCGACCAAGTGACTGGTGATCGGCTCAAACGAGTATTGACTGGATCTAAGAGTGGGATCCTGAATGGAACTGGCAGGAGATCCAAGAGTAGGATCATCCCTTGTGTCGTTGAAGTGCAATGATAGTGTAAGTAAGGCCACCATTGGATACTCGTGGACGAAAGAAAAAAGCTTCCGCTTGAGGGGGAGCGTGACCATGTGGAAGGGATTTCGACCAAGTGACTAGTGATCGGCTTAAACGAGTATTGACCGGATCCAAGAGTGGGATCCTGAATGGAATTGGCAGGAGATCCAAGAGTAGGATCATCCCTTGTACTGAAAGTCTCCCTAGAGGTGTGGAGGACGTGTGTCGTTGAAATGCAATGATAGTGCAAGTAAGGCCACCATTGGATACTCGTGGACGAAAGAAAAAAGCTTCCGCTTGAGGGGGAACGTGACCATGTGGAAGGGATTCACACTTGAGGAGGAGTGTTGGAGTTTAAGTGTGAAGTGAAGTCGCACATTGGTTAGAGTTAGGCATGTTGAGTAATATATAAGTGAGAAAGATCCACCTACCTAATGCCTTAAGGTTTTAGGATATGTTGTGGTGTCAAACTCACTTGTGTGACTTACTCACTAGCTATTGTAGAGTGCTCCCCGATGTTAAAGACTCTCCAACAATAAATATGGATTTAGACTCCCTAATGACAATGTTGGCCGAATGCAAAAACTAGAGCTGTCAAAACGGGTAACCCGGCCCGGCCCACCACGGGTTGAGCATTTGGTGGGCTAACCCAACCCGGCTCATTTATTAGTGAGTTCAAAAAAATTGAGCCCGGCTCGGCCCACCACAGGTTGGTGGGTTAAACGGGTTGGCTCACCTAATTTAAAAAAAATGTAATTTTTTTAATATACAACTAAAGCCCAAAATCATAATTAAATGATAATTCTAAATATAATCAAATAAAATCTAAATAATCTCATGTAAATAAATATAATTCAAAATCATCTCAAATACTCTTTTGGGCCTAATAATTCAAATATAATTCAAATCCTCATGCTCATTTGGGCAATTGGGCCCAATAAAATGAAAGTTAAAGCATAAGTTTTTTTTTTTTTAACGAGTTGGTGGGTCAGCCCGGCTCACCACGGGTTCAACCCGGGTGAGCCCGGTTGTTAGTGAGCCGGGTTCAAAATTGGCCCGTATTAAAATTTCAAAATTTTTTTAGCCCAACCCGGCTCGAACCCGTGGTGGGCCGGGTTGGCTCACCGGGCTGAGCCCATTTTGACAGCTCTAGCAAAAACACTTGCTTCCAATTACAACAACGTTTAAAAAGTGAATTAATTTTAGTTGATTTGTTTCAATTTTTTCTCATGAAAGTTACCCTCTATTTGTAAAAAAAAAATAGATAAAAAGTTTTCAGTTTATTTATTTAATCATTTTAAAAATAAAATAAAAATTAATATATTTATTACTGTGAGAAGTTTCTATATAAATAGTTTTAAAAAAATTCTAACCTAAGTATGTAATGAACTAAGCTATCACAATTAAATAATTGCATGTCATGACCGTCTATCTCGTTAATTGGACAATGTGTTATTGAAACCTCTTTAAATAAAATAAAAACTACGGGAAAAGATGATAGAAAAGTATTGGTGAAAAATATACATAATATGACAGCAGTGGAACTAATTAACTCTACGTTTGGTTGGGTGAATTAGAATGTATTCAAGGGAGGAGGGTGGATTGGAGGCTAATTAGCGGATATTTGAGTGAAGAAGATAATGAATCCTATAAGTTAAAAATTTACTCTATGAAATAAAGGGATTGTCACAAAATTGAACAAGAAAGACAAAAAAACATTTGTTTATTTTGTATTATATGCACCCCTGATTGAATAAGCAAAACACCCTACATAGTTAATACATTATACTAATAAGCAATGCGTTATATATAAAAATTATCATATTCAAAATATAGTAAAATTAATAATGTATTATTATATTCATATATGTATATATTAACAGACATGAAAAAAGATAAATGAATAAAATAATAATTATATACATTATTTATTTATACATAAAATATAATTTTAAAATATCAATTTTTTATTTCTCATCTAATTTTACTCTGTGAACCAACTATAAATCACACTCTATTTTATTCTATTCTCTATCAAATCAGTTATCTTCCATTCCCTCTGACTCCTCACCCTCTATCAAGCTTAGTGTAACAGTTTGGACTGAAGCTACTGCCACTGGGCCTTGATGTGCCTATACATGGCCTTTTAAATAAGTAGCAAGTGGCAATAGTTTTGTTTTGGTCCCTTGTTTATTCTTCCAATACCCATTTTACCTTAATTTACTGGGATGGATTGGATTGCGTAGATCCATTAAGCATGGCCTAAACTCTCCCATCCTGAAGGTTCTTCTGCTGTGAGGATCCTAATAGCTTCAAGCCTTGAAGGCCTTTTCATTCAATTAATTTTTAAAAATTTAATTCCAATGTGTCTTAAACTCTTTTCAGAATTTTAATTTCAAATTACTTCCAGAATTGAAATTTTTTAAACGAGTTTATTTCACAAAGAAATAATGACATATTCATCATATCTAATAATTTTAGTATATAATTGTTAAAAAAAAAATAGTGGTGGCATTAGTAAAAAATCAAGTGATAAAAAAAAATCTAGTAGTGGAAGGTTTGAGTAATATGCATATGTTTGAATCATCTTCTTATGGATAAAAAAAATATATATACATAAGCCATCTATATATACATGCTATGTAATTTGTGATTAGGTTTTCGACTGTTGTCGAGTTTATGAGTCTTTGTAACTATGATTGTTGATTGGGGTGTATACAATACAGTAGCATGTCTTAGACGTCTTATCTTGTACTTGCATTGATGATGAGCTGGTTCGGCCCACCATTTGTGCTTCGCCTTTCTTTTCTTGTCTTTGTAATCTTTACACCCAAGACAAAATAAAATGTGATGTAAATTGTAATTATGAATTCTATTGCGTTTCAGTTTATTATCCAAACATAATTTTAAAGAGGCCAAAAGATTATATTTTATTGTTTTAGTTTTCTTATCTAATTGAATGTCAGAAAAATATTCCAATGTTAGAATCAAAGTATTAGAGAATTGAGCAAAAGTCAGATTTAGAAATCTCTTTGCAAGCGGAGTAACACCCATGTTTATAAACCAAATATGCTTAGGTCATGATTCAAGAGTTTTTTTTTTATATATACAGAAAAAAAAAAAGTTATTGTTCAAGGGAACGTTGTTTTTGACAAATCAGCACGCGTGATAAGGTGTTCTACTCAAAAAGAAATGTTTGGAAGCTGCTAAATTCATTGAATACCTGCACCACACACATATTATTTAAGTTTTCAACCAATAAAATGAACATAAATTATTGCAGAATATAAGGTTAGACGAGTTAGAGATGATAATGGGTAGGATATTAGTATAATATTAAAGTTTTCATTTTTATATTTGCACCTTTAAAATTAGTTTATATACCCATATTCATACTCATTATTTACATTTTGATTAAATGGAATAGTTTAATGTATTTTTTAAACAAATTTATAAAAAAAAATACTTTTTTAATATTGAAATTAATTGTGATAATTTATTTAAATAAAACATCAATTAAAATTATAAAAAAAATTATATATAATCTAAAGTACATGATTTTAACTCCAAGCGTGTAGTTCAGCGGTAGGGGTTAATCTACGCTTAAGCAAGGTCAGGGGTTCGAATCCTGCCTTGGGTATGCAGCCGCATTAAATCTTGGTGGATACTCCAGAAACCAAAAAAAAAAAAAAAAGTACGTGATTTCAAACAATAATCGAGTCTAATAAAGTTAAAAAAAGGTTTAATTAACTTGTTAAAAGAAGGGAAAAGTATAAATAAGAAGACAATAAAAAAATAAGTTTGGACTAAAGCCAGTGCCCATTAGGCCTTGATAATGAACTGGGCCTAAGTGGCTAAATCTCCATCTTGTTTTTGGAGCAAGGTCCTTCAGCTTAGGGTTATGGGCTGATGAGAGTTCTAATCACTTGAATACTAAAGTAGTAACAACTACATTATAAACTTTAATTTTGTCACAATGTTTTCTTAGAGGGATGTTAACAGACGAGTTTAATTTTCATGTAAAAATTTTATATAGACAACTGACTAGAAATCACAATAAGAC